TGGCACAAGCCTGTAGTCCCAGCTGCTCCAGAGACTGAGGGGCCAGGGTGAAGGGTAGGGGGGTGTGGATCACCACTGCACTCTAGCCCAGGTAACAGAGTAAGAGCTTATCTCAAAAAACAAAACAAACAAACAAACAAACAAAAAAAACCAAAACCCAAATCCTAATAAATGTAGACAAGGCAGGTCCTCTTACTGAAAGCTCTGCTGCTTAGGTAAAACCAAGAGTTAAAGCTAAGTAGGTAAAAGCTTCCTAAACATGGTTTATAAGCCTGTCTAAATTCAAAGCACATAATTAAATGCTGCAAGTGGTATGCAAGTGAACAGCTCTGGCCTCATGATCCTTGTGAGCCTACAAGCCATTTTTAGGTTGATTTCTATATAACTCTAGCTTGGGAAACTTTCTAGGGACAATGTGATCCATCTACCCCTAACATCAGGATAATTAGAATCACTCCCAAGCTCCTCCTCTCTTTGTGACTAAATTCCCCCAGGTCTGGGTCACACCCCTAGCTACTCCACAGTTCCATTCTAGTCCGGTACCAGGAAGTCAATGCTTCGAGACATCTGGCAGGATTTCCTGAGACTTATTATCTATAGTGTAAAGATCTGCTTAGCAGCCACATTCCACAGCCTTCTCAAGGTTTCTCCTAAAAGAGTGGGAAAATAAAAAAGGACAGCAACAAACTCTAAGGACACAAAAAAGCCAGGTCTGTGGGATGTGTGATACCTTTAATTATAGAATATAAAGGGCTGCTAACGCCAAAGGTACAAGATTAAAAAGGTACTGCTTTATTAAGGATCCTCTCCCATACCTCTTTTTAACTTACAATGAAAAAGGAGGCATAAAATTTGGTAAAAGCAAGGTTTAAGGCCATGGATTAATACAAAAGACTGGAGTTCAAATGAGATTTTTTTGAACTCAGGACCACTGGTGCGTTACCACAAAGGCCAGGTGCCTTAGAATCATTGTTACTTATTAGTATACTGCCAAGAAAAGGCAACTTTTTTTTTCTGTAAATGTTAAGTTTAAAACATTTGCTTTTATCATATCATTACTATGCAAAGATGAGAGGAAGGTAAGGAATATTGGTAAATCAGGAACACACAACCAAAGATATTCACTAAACACGCTTGTTTCTCGAGACTATAGTTAAGATACTTTTATGTTTTCTCATTTCATGCTTTGAACGTTTAAAAGTAGAATCATAAAAAAGTTGCTATAATTCTAAAGGCAATGGCAACAGATTTAAAAAAGAGTTTTCATATTCATCCCTTTTGTAGTACCAGGTACCATCCCTTAATGTAGTACCTGTCATTAGAGGAGAAATCCATTCCTAGGACGATGCTTTCTTCAGTGTCTTGTCTACCATTAGTTGAAACTACTACCATATAGCGTGTTCGGTTCTGGTAAGTACTTTCCAGTCTTACAGCCTGGAGATGAATAGACAATAGATAAATTAAGAAATTTAGAAGATTAATTTTAGATCATTTAACCCTTTTCCCTCAGCTTTGTAAACCATACACAGGAAGCCAGCAGAGTCAATAAGTAGTTAAGAGACATAAACTCAGATCCAAGTTCATATACTAACTATAAAACTTTTGGTAATTACTAAATTAATTGGAAGAAGATATAATAATACCTGCTCAACCTGTTTTTTTAAGGGTCTTATAAAGTTATGCACATAAGGCAAAGTGCTTGGCATATAATAAATGCTCAATGTTTGCTATTAGCATAATTTATAACAACAATTACCAGAGTACATTCTAAAGACTGAAGAGGGAACTGTGAAATATATGAATGTGAGCATTGGTCTCACAGATACAAGTCCCGCATACAATCATAATATGAAGCAAACTATTAGTATCATCTAAAATTCTAAGGAGAGTATTAGCTATGTTCTATTTAATTCTTGTACATTTATATACTACAAGATTTTCTTTAGTTTCAATGATAATTAAAGGAAATTGCTTTTTCATTACTTTTTTATAAAATTGTTAATTTATCGCTTGTTTACAAAGAGGCTTATTTATAAAAGATCTTCAGAAAATTTGAATAGGGGTAAAAACTTAGATGAAATTAAAATGCACTATTAAGTGTGATAATGGCATTGTGGTTACTATGCTTTTTCCTTAAGTATCTAAAGTGAAATGACATGATGTCTGAGTTTTATTTTAAAATGTTCCAACAAAAGAAAAAAAAAGAAGGAAGGGAGGAAAACATATGAAAGAAATCATGCAGGGCAGTGCCTGTGGCTCAGTGAGTAGGGTGCTGGCCCCACATATCAAGGGTGGTGGGTTCAAACCCAGCCCTGGCCGAACTGCAACAAAAAAATAGCCAGGCCTTGTGGTGGGAGCCTATAGTCCCAGCTACTCAGAAGGCTGAGGCAAGAGAATAGCCTAAGCCCAGGAGTTGGAGGTAGGAGGTTGCTGTGAGCTGTGATGCCACGCACTATACTGAGGGTTAATAAGTGAAACTCTGTCTCAAAAAAAAAAAAAAAGCAAAGAAAAGAAAAGAAAAATTAAGAAATCAGGCATACTAGCAATGGTTATTAATGCTGAAGAATATATATTCTACTTTGACATGTTTGGAAATTTTCTAAGTAAGAAGTTCAAAAAGATATCTTATAAACCTTAAAAATAAAATAAAATAACTTCCAGGCAATACTCATTCAAATATTTATTATATGTATATTGTGTATATAATCACAGTTTAAGCAAGTGCTGAGGATTCAATGGCGGAAGAGAAGACATGGTTCCTGCCCTCATGAGAGTGTATAATCTACTCTTTCATTTGTTAATGATAATAATAATAAATGACATATCACTTGAAGCCAAGAAAATGTGCTCTGAAGGCAAATTCCTCTGTATAAAATAGCCCATGTTCCTTATGTCAGAAAAGGAACAGAATTCCAATCCATCAACTGGCTCAAGATATTTGTCAGAAATTTAACAGAAATTTCTATTTGGAATTTTTTCCAATGCTGCTAAAGGAGAAGGAGTCTCCTCCCCTTTAACTCTGTCACTATTCCAAAACGACCAGGCAAGGAGAAAAAGAAGCATAGTTGCACGGCACAAATGACCCATTTAGCAAGGCAGAAGCAAGATTCCCATGACTATCTTTTTGTCTCTATTAAGAGCTGATACAATAAGAATGTAATGCTCACCATTCTGATGCCAAATGCGTAAGACAGGTAGTTGTACTACTGACTTTATGTTCTATAAAGTAATAGAGCATTTAAAACCAAATTCATGACTCGGTGCCTGAAGCCCAGTGGTTAGGGCACCAGCCACACATACCAGGGCTGGTGGGTTCAAACTCAGCATGGGCCTGCTAACCAACAATGATAACTCCAAAAACAAAAACAACAAAAATAGTTGGGTGTTGTGGTGGGTACCTTTAGTCCCAGCTTACTGGGGAAGCTTAAGCAAATCACTTCAGCTCAAGAGTTTGAGGTTGCTGTGAGTTATGATGCTATAGCACTCTACTGAGGGTGACGTAGTGAGACTCTGTCTCAAAAAAAAAAATTTAAAAAAACCAATCAAATTCACATATGAGAAGCTAAGGGTACTAACATTTAAATGAACTAAGTTCTAGAGGGCTGGGATCAAGGGAAAAAGCATTATGTGCATCAAACTATGGCTAGGAGGAAATGCACATGAGGTAGACTGGGAGGCAGTATTGACTCTCTCTCTGATTGTAGAAACACTCTATAACATGTTAATGATACTGCAGATAAATTAGAATTCCCTTTTTATAGACAGAGTCTTACTTTGTTACCCTCGGTGACATCACAGCTCACAGCAATCTCTAGCTCTTGGGCTTAGGCAATTCTCTAGCCTCAGCCTCCTAAGTAGCTGGGACTACAGGCACCTGCCACAATGCCCGGCTATTTTTTTGTTGCAGTTTGGCTGGGGCCCGGTTTGAACCCGCCACCCTTGGTATATGGGACCAGTGCCCTACTCACCGAGCCACAGGTGCCGCCCTAGAATTTCTTATAAACAAGATCTTGGATATTATTACATATATAAAATGGACTTGCCTTAGCCCAAGTTTCCTGAATACATTAAAGGATTTTTCATCCTTTCTCTGGCAAACTTCAAATGCACAGAACAACTTCTGACAATTTATCTACAGCTCCTAAACCAACAAGTAGCATGTGATTGGCTAAATCAAAGAAAAAATATATCCTTGGTAAATATTACCTGTAATACAAGTTACCAGGCCAAGTTAGAAGTGGGCATTAAGAGTTTGTTTGTAAGTGATACTCAATGCAAACATTAGTTGTCTCTTTTTAAAAAGAAAGTGGTATTTGCTTGTTTGCTTATTTATTTATTTTTTTGTTGCCCTGAGCATAGTGCCATGATGTTGTAGCTCACAGCAAACTCAAACTCTTGGGCTTAAGCAATCCTCTTGCCTCAGCCTCCCTAGTAGCTAAGAACTATAGGCCCACCTACTGCGCCACCACTACTGGCTGGTTTTTCTGTTTTTAGTAGAGATGGACTCTCTCTTGCTCAGGCTGGTCTCAAACTCCAGAGCAGAAGGGATCTTCCTACTTGGCTAGGAGGGAGGATCCTCCCTAGTGGGCTAGAATTATAGAAGAGACCCACTATACCCCACCTGAGGTTTATTTATTTACACTATCAAGAACATTTCAGATGTTTGGCTCTTTGTCTTTTAATCTAATTATAAAAGAAGACACCCCCGCCCCCTGCAAACATAATGGGAAAGGCCCCAGCTATCGCACACTGATCTTGGCTTGAATAATAAGCACATTTCAGAGTCATTCAATTTAAAACTTTTTACATGGAAGAACAGCACTTAAAAGAGTTCTTGGAACTTGATCATAGGCCTCTAGAAAGTACTCACATAGTTCATAAATTCTTACTAAAGGGAAGAGGAGGTCTGGCGCCCATACTCAGTGGTTAGGGCACTGGCCACATACACTGAAGCTGGCGGGTTCGAGCCCAG